GTGGTTCTCGAGTTGAAAGTGCGGGACAAAATGTGGGACACACAGACAACTCCGCGACAAATGCGTCTTGCACTGCCGTTACACAGCACAAAACGCATAAAAATCTTGGTGAACGGGGTTCGTCATTATAGCTCCCGCTAATCTAATAGCGATATCTAGTGTACAAAGTTCTTTGGTGCTTATAACACCTAGGAATGTGGATGTTTTTTGTCTTTTTCCTGCTATTTTTAGCAAATTGGTGGTTTTGGCAAAAAGCCAGGCGAAATTAAGCAAATTTTATCGAAAATCACTCTAAAACTAATAAAACATGCCCCATGCAGGTAAGAACTTACGGATCTTGTGGTAAATTCAATGTAACAGTATCAGCAACTTTATCACCAACAGCCAAATAACCGTAAAATCCCATCACAGCAAATATTGACAACACAACTAAGCATGCCGAATTTAGCACACCATTCCATCGAATGAAAATTTGCGGCTGATTCATGCGATTTTCGACCGGTAAAACCTGATAACAAGAATTTTTACACATTTTCAATTCTTTCACAAAAAATCCATTTATTTTTAACTATAAAAAGAACAAAAAAAAGAGGCTGTATTTTCTTTTTTTCAGAAGTTCATTAATTGGAAGAGTGCCAAATGAAGAATGTACAAACATACCACAGCAATTCCTTCGAAAGCGAATAAAACTGTCCCGAAATATAAAGGAACAGTATGAAGATGGCCAACAGCTGGCAAATCGGAAGACGATTTCAAATGCGTGAAGAAGAAATACAGCACAATCACCACGGCAGCTGTAAAAAAATCTTTTTTTCAAAGCATTTTTTTGAAATTTGCAAAATTTTCAGTACTTTTTGTCCTCTCGCCAGCAACACGATGATCGGCGACAACAAATACCACTAATTTTTACAGTTTTTTTCAAAAATTTCTCAATGTGAAAACTTGCTTACAGATGTACATGCAGTTAGCAGCAAGTGCGAATGGTGCCAGCTTATTCAAACGACGAATTGAGCAAATTGATAGGATTGGAATGAGTAGGAGGATCATCCAAACCGATTTTGGCAAGTGAATCATTGTATTCATATCGAAAAACTGAAAGATCGATGAATTAATTACATGGCTTTTCAGTACATGGTGGGTAGGAGGCTATACTGATGAATCCCGCTCCTAACCGCACGCTTATTTCGGTCTGTGTTTACAGCTAAAGCATGTGTTGGGCAGAGCGGGATATTCAAAAGCGCGCGGATTCGGCAAGGAATTTCGTGAAGGTCGATGCCCCGTAATCATGTTTGATTTATGCGCTAAAATTCTTTATATTTTGTTTTTTACGTTTCCCGGTTGGCTCGTCGGTAGCAATAAATCTCAATTATTTCCTCAGCTTCGTCAGGGAGCGATTCGCTAGCGCCAGGCGAGGCTCGCCCAACACATGAGACACAGGCAGACTGCATCGTAAAATGTCTTCTTACACATGACACTTAAGTTCAATCCTTCTATTCTACTATACATAACAGTACTAGCAGCAGTAAGCAGTACAGACTCGTCTAGTTGAAACTATCTGGATGTGAATCTCGCTTAGATACGTCTTTAACACCTAACATAAATTATCGAAAATTCGTAACTGGAGCAAAAAAAAAAACTTTCTCTTTTAAAATCTTTTTTTTTCCTCCTTCTTTACTCCTCCTAATCTCACAGTCGTATCGTTTCCCCTTCTGTTTCTTCCTCTCGTCCATCTCTTTTCTTTTTCTTTTTCATTAAGCACTACGACCGTCGTACTATTACGAGGTCCTATCGCAGTGTTGAGTTAAGACATATATGACTTAATGGGCCGAAACGTCTTATCTCACTCTTACTTTTTTCCTCATACTGTAATCTATTGCGCCTTTGCCATTTAGGCTTCCAAGGTCAACCTGGTTGCTACAATCAGCTCAGCGTAATGTAAAATCGTGTAAGTTTATAAAGCATGGGAACGTTATAAAGTGAGAGAAAAAGATAGGCCAAAATGAAGTATTTAGAAAAACCGAGAAGGCGGGTCCATCTTTTTTTTTTTCTATTAAGCACTGCAACCGTCATACTATCACGAGGTCCTGTCGCAGTGTTAAGACGCATATGACTTAACGGATGGAAAGAGTTAAGACTTATATGACTTAATGAACCGAAACGTCTTATCTCACTCTTATCTCCTTTTCTCACACTGTTCTTTCATGCTGTAATCTATCATGCCTTCGCCATTTAGACTTTCAGGGTCGGCCTGGTTGTTACAATCGGCTTTGCGTAATGTAACATCGTGTAAGTTTATAAAACATGAAGACGTTATAAAGTGAGGGAAAAAAGGACGCCAAAATGAAG